GTGGTTGTGGTTGTGGTTGTGGTTGTGGTTGTGGTTGTTGTTGTGGTTGTGGTTGTTGTTGTTGTTGTTGTTGTTGTTGTTGTTGTTGTTTTGGTTCTTGTTACTGTTCTTGTTCTTGTTCTTGTTCTTGTTCTTGTTCTTGTTATTGTTCTTGTTCTTGTTGTTTGTGGTGGTTGTGGTGGTTGTGGTGGTGGTGGTGGTGTTGTGGTAGTTGTTGGTTGATCGTGCTTGTTGTGTTTTTTGTTGTTGGTGCTGCTGCTGCTGTGGTCGTGGTTGTGGTTGTGTTTGTGGTTACTGTAGTTGCTGTCGTGGTTGTCGTTGTCGTTGTTGTTGGTGGTGGCGGTGGTGGCGGCAGCGGCGGTGGTGGTGACGCTGGTGTTGTTGGTGTTGTTGTTGTTGGTGCTGTTGCTGTTGCTGTTGCTGTTGCTGTTGCTGTTGGTGTTGGTGTTGGTGTTGGTGTTGGTGTTGGTGTTGGTGGCGGTGGTGGCGGTATTATTGTTGTTGGTGTTGGTACTATTGTTTTTTGGTTGTTTGCTTGTGTGTGTGTGTTTCTTTGTTTGTTTGGTTTGGTGGTTTGGTTGTTGGTTGTTGTTGGTATTTTGTTGCTGCTGCTGTTGTTGTTGTTGTTGTTGCTGAAAATGGGGTGCGGCGCTGTTGATGCTATTGCTATTGCTGCCATGCTGCTGTTGCTGTTGTTGTGGTTGTGGCTATTTTTGTAGTTGTGGTTGTTGTAGGTTTTGTGTTTTGAGAGTTGTGGTCTGTTGTTGTCAGTTGCTGTCTGTTCTTCCCGGCTCAATGGGGCTGTCAGATATAAAGGACTGCTGTCAAACAAATCCGACAGCCAGGGAGAACCAGCGAGAATCTGCGAAAGTCAGTACCCGCCCGCCAGATGGCAGGATGTGAGAAGAGGACAGATTCGAGGACAGATAGCCGGACGCAAGAAGAGATCGAAACAGTTTCTCAAGAACAGTTTCTCCACGCGCGAATAGCAGCCAGTGGAGGTCTCAGGCCTCCGAGTGCACCGAAAACATATTCTCGGCGCACCGATAGCCGACAATGGAGGTCTCAGATACCCGATACTGAAGCGTGCATTTTCTTCTATTTCCGGTGAGTCCTTCAGTACAGAAAATGCGCATCCCAGTATAGAAACATACACAAGGCAAATTCCACACTGAAACGGGCGGTTTCTTCATCTCCGGCGAGTCGCTCAATATAGAAATGCGCGGTCAAGAAGAGAGTCATCATAAAACGCAAGTTCTATGCTGAGACGCATTTATGATTTTCTGCACAGATATCTCGAGCGGCGTTGGGGGGCTTAAGGTTCATGGATGTTGTTTTGGGGTTGAGGGTTTGCGGCTTAGGGTTCAGGCTGTTCGAAGCTCCCAACCGAAGTGCAAGCTGTTTTCCGCCCTACTTGGGGACAGGCTGGGGACGTCGTTGTCGTTGCTGTTGTGGTGGTGGTGATGTTTTGCTTTTGTTGTGCATTGTTGTTGTTGGTGTTGCTATACTGGGTTAACTCGTAGTTGTTATTATTATTGTTGTTGATGGTGGTGGTGTAGGTGTTGTGTGTTTTGTAGTAAGCCCCACTTGCGGCCACCACGGGAAGCCCAAGTCTCAGGTCCGCCTGGGAGCCCAGGAGGCTGATGAGGCCGAGATGAGCCAGCTGCTCTCCGAAGAGGAGTGCTCGGGCTTAGGATCAAAGGGTTCATCCGTGAAGGAAGTTGCTGAAGACGACTCCAGCAGAGTTCAGGGAGCCGAGAAGGACGGCTGAGTGCCTGGATTGATTCAAGACATTTTGTTGCACCCTGTCCGCCGGATGATGATGTTGATGATGATGGATGGGAAGGATGGAGATGATGTCGTTGATGCTGATGTTGATGATCGGACCCGGCATTTGCGCAACCTGAGAATTTGGCCTGGCCGGCAAGATCTGTAGTTCGCAAAAGTGGTCAGCTTACCTGTGCGAATGAGGGTTTCGGTTTAAGCTTCGGACTGGATGCGAACGCCTCGATGGCGCGCATCGTTATGTAGTGTGGCACGGGTTAGCCGTTAGCAATTGCAAAGTACGTCCTCGCTGTTTGAGAGCTGAAGGTGCAGCAGCCTGACAGTACTGTACTGTACCAATTCCATGAGATTGTTTGTATCTTCGAATCAAACGCTGCAGCCAATCGTGAAGTTTGGAAAGCTTAGGGGCATCTTCAGGAGGAGCTGCTGATCATCCAGCGCCTGCACAAGGTGCTTCGCCCGTTCCTCCTCAGGAGGACGAAGGAACAGGTCCTCACGGAGCCTCAAGCTTTGATTTGTCATGTCTTGTTTTGAATCCGAGGGTCGGGGCCGCCTTGGAGCGTTGGCTATGGAAAGACCCCGAAGGCTTCAACCTTCCTCGCTGCGTTTCCGCGCAAAGGACCTTCCACCCAAGACAGAGGCAGTGATATGGGTTCCACTGTCGTCTTGGCAGAAGGCGGGGCAACGCGACACTTTGAGTTGTAGGGTCAGCACTTTCTGGCACGGGGGGGCGCATTTTCCGTGAAACGACCGACTTACGTACTTACTGTACGTCTCTAGCCGCTGTTGCTGGGAGCTACATCGAATTTTTCTGTTGAAGAGTTGATGATACTTTGTACTCTTTGTGCCAAGGTGTTGTATCGGAAGGGCCTCCGCACAATCCAGCGTGTGGCAGGCTGCGTGACAGATAGGACGGCAGAGTCATGCTGAGACATGCTGAAACTGATTGCCTCTGTGATACTGTAGAAGGCGTCCATGTGTTTGTTTGTATCTTTGTCTGCATTAGTTTGCGCGATGCCTTGTGTGGATAGTTGGGGCAAAGACCCCAGCTGGCCCCCCCAAAACGTCACTTCAATCGGCAGGCCCGGCAAAATTGAGTTCGGGCGGCGTGTCCGCCAATGCCATGTCGGGAATGGCCTTGCGAAAGGCTGTAAATCATCCTTACCACTACCTGAGCCGCTTGGCTGACAGAATTGGAGGCTGAAGTCTGGTGGAGGGAGTCCATGAGTTCGTTCAGCGTCCATGAGACCATGGGACATCTGAAGCGACTGCATCGTACATTGAGAGGCTTGCCCGAGTCTCGAGGCATCTTGTGCTCAAGGAAAGAAGACAGTCTTGTTAAAGAAATAATAATAATAGTAATAATCATAATAATAATAACAATAATAACACTAATAATGATAATAATAATAACAATAACAATAATAAGAATAAAATAATAATCAAAGCATGGACTGTCAGGAGGTGCCAGGGCCAGGGCCTCGCGCTACGTAGCGTTGCGAGCCTTCAAAAAGCCTTTGCCACCATCCTCCACAAGGGTTTAGGGTTTAGGGTTTAGGGTTATAGTTCTCTAAATTAGGGTCCCTTTTTAGGTCCCCAGCTCCACAAGGGTATAGTTCTCTAAATTAGGGTCCCTTTTTAGGTCCCCAGTATATGGTACGGCACCCTTGTAAAAAGACCCTAAAGGGGACCCTAATTTAGAGAACTACCCACAAGGCAAGAAGGCTGCGTCTGGGCGGCCCGTCGAGGAGATTCCAATCCTTCTCTCCCGATAAACCACAGGCACATTCGTCGAATTCCTGGAAAAGTAGAACTCCTGCAGAGGAGCTGATTCGGGCTTCGGGCAAGCTTGAGTTCTTGGACCGGTTCCTACCGAGGACTTGGGGGACCAAAACCACACGTCATTCAAGCCTGCATATTGATTCGCAGCCGAGTTTCAGCGGACGGGCAGACAGGCTGACGTGCTTCACTAGCTTCCCAGAGCTCAGTCAGAGCTGGCAAAGCTCCCTGAGGCTGGTGAAGCTGGGTCACAAGATTCTTATCTTTGCACAGATGCGGACCTCCTTGGACTTCCTTCAGAGGCTGTTGGAGCACCAGGGCTTCTCGGCTCAGGCTGCTTCCCCTTTTCATTTCTGAATGAGTAGAAGCTAAGTCCTCATGCAGCTCGGAAGTTTGAAAGCAGGGAACCGCAATTAGCAAATCTCACACATGAGTCCACCCGAAATGTGGGTCCCAAGAGGGTCCAGGAAGATGCGTTCAATTCACATGAGTCCGTGCCGTAAGCAGTCATGTGCTCCCACAAGATCTCCGTGGTAGAAATGAGGCCTTAACTTCTCGCGCATCGACGGGTCCGCGCCCTCGACGAGGCGTGCGGAGGCGGTTAGCGATTTCAGGCGCAATGCCTCGATCAGTGTTATGCTGCTTACAACGAAAGCTGGTGGCTTGGGCCTGAGCCTAAGCTGCAAGTGGTTGCAGTATTTGACGCCCAATTATCGGTAGTCGCTGGAGATCTGCCAGCAATTGGCCGCAACAGCTTCATCTGTGTGGCTACGACTATGCTGCCATACATAGCATGTCCGGAGCAAGGCTGTGACGGGTTACCCTGATGCATGGCCCTTTCGAACTTCACTCTCGTTGCGAGGAAACCGCCCGCTCTGCGAAACACTACTAGCCAGAAGATGCAACCGAGCCTCTGAGCGCTGAACGGAATCTATGCCTGAACGACCTGAGTCAGTTCAAGCTGAAAGCTCCACTTCCAGCCTAGCCGAGGAATTTGCAAGCTGCGGACACTGTCATCCTTTTCGACAGTGACTGGAATCCGCAGTCCGAGCCTAGTCGTCACAGCCCTCTCCAGTCTTCAGGCTTTGAGTCCGTGGCTCTGCAAGTTGATTCGGTTGTAATAGGCCGGCCTGTAGCTATCGGTCGCAAAGCTACGTTCCCGCTGTTGGTTGCCTCCTACTTCTCTTGACGCGAGACCCAGGGCCCAGGAATTACAGCCGTCTTGCATGCTAGGACCTTCAAGCCTGCGATCGTGCTCATCGGATTGGCCAGACGCGGCCTGTGCTCGTGCCATGGCCGCAAAGCGTCCAAGAGCGGTTTGGGCCCGAGCCGGCGCTTACGCAGTGGGAGCACTTGTGATGCCATGATGGAACATGACGGATGATTTCATGGAGGCTTGTGAAGCTCATTTGCTTCAGTTTTGGGGTACGCTAGGAAACTAGGTCATGAAGCGAGGAGCGTGAAGCCGCTGCAGGCTGTGCGCCTCATGACGCCCACAGCCATGGACCGGGGTCTCTTGGAGCGAAGCACCAGGAAGCTGCAGATGGAGAAGAAGGTCTGCAGTGCAGTTAGGGAGAGATGACAGGGTCTGGGGGCTGTCTTTTCCAGCGATGCCCATGCATGAGAAACTTGGTTTGGGAATCCACCCAAGCTCGAAACACGCAGGGGAGATGCTACTGGCAGGGACGCGATGAAACCGATATTGAAAGTTTCACTTCAACGGGCGTTGCGACATGGTAATTCAAAGGCGCCCCTTCAGTAAGTTACGGCACCGGAAGTTAACGAACCTCAGCTGCTCCAGATCATCCGGGCCGGACACTTCTCTGACTCCTCGGCCGAGATGTCCAAGTCGTTGCTGATGCAGTTGGTGAAGGAGGCTGTCGTGCTTACTTGATGTGGGGATACTGTTTGGGATGGATGCTGGCCGAGTCTAAAGCTGCCGTTTGCATGTCCGGCTGTTCCGTGCTATGTCAAGCATAAAGCAACAGAGTGATACATCCGCTCCGCGTCACGACACCTTGACTGAAGAGCATTCCTTCCAGGAGCTAACTGTTCCTGGATGTTAGTGGCCAGCGCGGACATGCGGGGACAGTCTCCCGAATTTCCCCCGTACGGCCTGATGAGCACAACTGGCAGGCACGTCAGACGAACAAGGCTGAAAGCGGCCACCGCGCCAGCAGCTTGGCGGAGATGAATCGACTGATGGCCCGGTCGGACGAGGACCCATGCGGGCGAAAACCTCAGAAGACTAGGGAGCATGCTTCGAGCTTCGGGTCAAGCTTTATCCGCTTTGCGCTGCCTTGTTCGCCCATGTCTTCGAGCAAAGCCCCGTGCCATACGTGCAGTCAAACATGCGACTCGCTTGCAAGCCTGAGCAGAAGCGCACCCACCACACGGACAGGAGATGGAAACATTCACTCAGCTCGATCGTGGCTTATTGGGTGAGGCGAACGATGCCAGCACCACAGAGGAGCCAGAATGCTGTAGCAGCACAAGTAAAGCCTGTATTTATCACGTCCCAGTGGTGTATCTGAATCGGTGCCGATGATACGCCTGATTCGCTCATGTTGGCCATCCGGTAGTGGTCCAGCTTCGGTTGTGTCAGACGTTTTTTGGAGCGGCTCAACTTCTCCGAGTGGCTGCTCTTGCTTATCGGCGTAGCGGCGCGTCCGAAGCAGTGCATACAAGTGCTCAGCCGGACAGGGTATGAAAGATTGTTGTCGTGGCTTCTGAGTAAATTGGCTCCTGCTTCCTGAGTGTCAGGAGATCTTGGAGAAGGCTGGACGCCTCGTTCGGATCGACGAAGTCACAAGTCGGGAATAGGCATTTTCCATGCAGAACTTGACACCATCAACTGCGCCTAGCAAACGGTAAACTCAGGTAGCTCTTCTGCTTCGTATGCGCATGGAATCGAATCTACTTTGGCCCAGAGCTTTTGCCTGTCTCTTTCTTAGGTTTCCGCAAAAGCGGGCCGCAAGCACCGCCTCTCTGTCCGGGCCGTTGTGGCCACTTGGACACGAAGTCCGGCACAGTTGTACTTCGGGACTTAATAGGTGCGCATACTCAGCTGGTGGTGAGCTACAAAGCTTCAGAGACACTGGGTCGGCCTGAGACGAAGTAGTGGACAGACCGGGACTCGTGACTGTCCTGCAAGGACAGCCTTGACACCGCCATCAGAAGCGCCAAGCGGCGGCGGCTCTCAAAGCAGCGACCATGACTGCTTGGCTCAGGGAGTGGGAAAGAATCTGAGGATTCACTTTTTGGAGCCGTCCCTCGGTTCTCAGCAGCCCGGGGAGGGGCGACAGCGCGAAGCTCTTCAAAAGCAGCTTCGCTTGCCAAAGGCAGTCTGCACGATCAACTGGCACTTAAGATTTGAATTGGTCCCGTTCACATTTTGGCTAGTTCTGCTGATGGCTTGAATGGGGCAACAGCCACTGCTAAGCTGGCTCCGACTTTTCCTCGTAGCATCATTTCACCCATGGCATTAACCTTAGCGTTGCCAGTGCCTGGATCGGGACCAAACTGGACAACGGCGCATATGAATATTCTGTGAGACTCTGCCTGCCGCCGCAGTCTTCGCATTGATTCCCTTTTCAGCACCCCCCCCCCCCCCCCCCTCCTCCCCCCCCAAGATTTTGAAGGCGCAGAGTCTGGACAGAAAAGATTGCCTGCCGTGTCCCCACTCAGCCTTGGGAGTGCTGACGTCTCCATGACTAGTAATTCGTGACTCAGATGCTCGTGCTCTTGGATTTTCAGGTTGCCCACCTAATTGTGCTAGTGATGATGCCAGTTAAGGTTTTAGTGTCACCAGGGCGAAATATTCCATCACGTGACTATCTGAGCTTAGCTGGATCCGAGATCAGTTGAGACTCTTCGCACCAGGAATATTGGAGTTGGCCTGCTTTTGAATCGACGCCCTCATTCAACGAGTCAGGTCCTGAATGTTTCCAACAATCACTCTATGAACACTCATGGCGATATTCGGGGCCGTCTCAAAGGCTACCCGCAAGCAGGTGGGAGGGACGGGTGGAGGGAAGTGACTGGTGATCTTATCACTTCTTCACATATTCCTCGACGACACTTGTATGTGCGGCTTCAAGCAGGTTATGAGTGTTCTTTGCGAAACAGCACCCGAGCTGTTAGAGTCAGAGCCTGTGTCACGGGGCCATGGGTCCTGTAACCATCAACCCCGAATCCTGCAATCCCAGTCATTCAGCCGTGACACTGTAATTGTTTAGGGTTGGACGTCTCAAGAAGATCGACCTGGCCTCGGCCAGCCGTGCCGTTCCAGCGACCCGAGGCATCCGGAAAAGAGGCTGCGTCCGGTGCTGGGCTGCGACTGCAAGTGGCATTCGCCAGAGCATGTTCAGACTGGAAGGTGGACTTCAGCCAGAACGACATGAGCGACCGAGCGCTGTGGATGCTGTTGGATTGCCTAACTCAGTTTGAGGCTGGCTGTGGAGCGGCGGTTCCAGTGTATTTCTTGGCTCCGGAATGTACTTGGCAGGTGCAGGCCAGCTACCTCAAGCTCAACAACAACAGGACAACAAGAAGCCTCTGCACCTTTCACTGTCGAACCTGGGTGTGGTGCGAGCGTGGCGTTGCAATTCAGGATTTCAGGGGCCGGAATGTTGGCGCTTTGTGCTTCCGCCGCGCTTGCATTGTAGTAGTTGCCCGGCTGAAACCACCGAGTCTTCGAAGTATCAGTTGCAGATGAGGGCCAAGCCTGTCGCGACAGGTGAGTTCATTCGGAACAACAAGCGCGGCTTGCTTGGGATGCATAGTCATAGTCCTTGTCATGAAGACCCACTGATTCATGTCATCATGCCGCACATCGTTCCTTACACTGCAGTCTGCCGGAGAGTTGGAGAGTGTTTGAGCGCGAGAATCGCCACATAACTGCGACGCCGCAAACCAAGGCGCAGGCCAGATCTATGAGCTGCACTTGTCGCAGAATCAGGCGACTCCTAAGGAAGCTACAAGGAAGCTAACATTCTAAAACGCTTGACGTGTCCTGCAATTAAGGAAAGGCTCCCGCCCGGAGAGTTCAGGAAACACTCAGACTGTCATGACTATGATTGATTTTTGCTTCAGAAGTGCCAAGGACATTTCTACACGAAACCCAGGTAATCACCGGCTTGCAACACGGCCGCTGGGGTAAATGCATCGAGCTGCAGAACAAGCCAACCGTACCGGCCTCCTGTCCCATCAGATCGATGATGCATCAGCCTTGGAGTTGTTCCGGACGCTGAAGGAGCTGAAGCACAGGTGCCTGCACTGAACGCCAGGTCAGTGAGCGGCCAGTCACAGCCTGTAAGGCCGTAAGGCTGTTGATGAAGTGCAGCTTTCCCGTATAGCCCGCGCATATGAGCGAGTGCTTCCAGCAGTCTGCGAAGTCGCGAGTGTTGGTTTTTGATACGCGACTCCTACCTGTAACATTCGGAATGACTTAGCCGTGATTCGAATGATGAGTTTGCAGGGTGCCATATTGATTATTGTAGGCTGCCAGCCAGTGGTGCTATACTGATGGGATGCACGGGGCTTGGCTGGCCAATCAGGCTGTTGCGCAGCTGCGGCACAGCTCCACAACAAGTACCAGATGATCATTACTCAATACTCCCCTGCAGATGCTTCACACGAGAAACCTTCTACGAAGAGCAATAGCGTGCTGATTCTGACGGTCTGAGAGCAGATACACAAGATCAGACCTGCACCTACAGGTACCCACCGAAGAGGGAGATTCACGGCTATGAAGGCAAGGTGTCCTGCAATCAGGCTGTTGCCCCTTCCGCGTTCCCTTCATGTCTGGTCGCGCTGCATTTAGCCACAAAAATGCTCATGTCCAAAGCCCGGGCAAATGCATTTCAATGCTGTCTGGCAGGCCTGCACCTTGTTCCACTTTGGCTGCGGCTGAGTCGAAACAAGGCACCTATCTGTCAGCCGAGCTTAGCTGCCTTAGGCGTTGCAGGTTTTGATGCCCTGCAAGCCAACCTCGGCTGCAGATTGCTTCAGAGTGCATCATGTCGCTCTGCATCTTTATCGAGCCATGGCTGGTCGAATAATCAACATGTCAGCACCAGCTGGCGGCTAATGATCTAGCAGACTAAGGACGCACCACAGGGCGGGTGCAGTACGTGTGAGACTTGACTTGATCGCAGATTCGCGACCCCGCAGCTCTGCTTGAGACACTGACGGCGCAGCTCCCAGCACGGCATTCACCATGTCAGGGCTTGTCCTCCCTAAGCCGTCGGAGATGCGTATACTTGGTAGCAGCAGCCGGACATTAAACAAACGTCCGGAATCCCAAACATCAGTCTCAAGAGCAACGGCCGTGATGAGGGTGTTGAGCATCAGCTGCAAGATGAGTGGTCAGAGTTAAGACGAAGACGATAGTCGCGGCAGTCGAGCTCAGAAGATAAGTTTTCCCGCAGGAAGCTCTGCAGGTGGCCGAAGCCATGAACAAGACATGGCAACATTGGTCGAACTCGCCACCCCAAGCAGTTTTTAGAAGAAAGAAGCTGTCATGGCCGAGGCCGAGGAGATCACGTTCTGCCCTGCGTTGCGCAGGGACGGATGTGGCCCGGGGTACTGTTCCTGGCCACGCGCCCGGTGGGGGATGGGCTTGTCGGCCTTATAGTTGCTTGGTTCTGGAGGATGTGGCAGTTCGGATCTGGAGGATGTTGGGCTCCTGGAGCGCAGATGTTGCCTAACATGGCTATTAAGTATCTGAAATTGTCATGGAGAAGCCTCACGTGGGAATGTTAGCCCCGTCCTCCCCCCCACTACTAGAGCTGCGGACGGAAAGCATGTCTGCCGTGCGTCCAGGGAGGATACCCCGCTGGTTCACCTGCCCTTTTTCTCAGAGCAGGCGACGTTCTTCTGCAGCCATGAGAAAGGTAGTATTGGCAGGCATGAGGAATAAAGTAGCGCGGCGGGTGCATGGCTATTCTGGACTGGTTGAAGGTGTCGCTTGCGCGCTGGTCTCGTGAGTAGAACCATCTCGCACCTGGGAGGACGTAGGACGACATAGAAACTCCACCGTAAAGCAGGCTGTAATCATCGCCGGAAGTCGAAGATGATTGAACATTGTCTCCTTGTGCTTGGGCCTTGTACTGGTTTCACGTGTCGGAGGTCGCGGAAGAGGAAATGGAACACGATGCTGCCTACCCCGCGGAAGAGGCCGGGTAGGAGTCAAAGTTGCAAAGTTGCGATTCGAAGGGCTTTCCCAGGCAGGCATCCTGTTGTTTGATAGCCGTGGCCACTCGCCTTTCGGGCATACCTTCCCCGTGTCACCTTTCCAGGCATACGATCGCGATGGCGATGCTCGACGGGCTGGCATGTTGAACCCTTGAACCGTCGGGCTGCATGGAATGCTGCAGCCCTGGGTAGGGGAGCTTCTCAGTTTGAGGCTTGTGGTTCAGGCTAAGACACACGGCCTTGACCATCAAGATGCGGTAAGGTCAACTCGTGTTCGACGCACAGGCGTCGTCGATGCCAGTAAACAGCCGCACCCTTCACGACTAGATGTGTTCGTAGCAAGGGTTTAGGGTTAACGGCTTAGGGAGGGTTTAGTTTAGGGTTTAGGGCTTAGGGCTTCTAGGGTTTATGCTTGCCCTGGCCTGACCTTTCGCTACCTGAGCAGCCAGGTGAGCACAGGGACCGCCCCCGTCGCCGGGGAGGGCGAAACCGAAACCGCTGGAAAGGCAACTTGTATGAAAGAAGGTTTCCATCAGGGAATGTTTGTCATCAGGGACGTTATGCTGAAGGCACATGCATAACCGTCGTCCTCCGCATACTTACATACTTGTGGTGGTGACTCTGGTCAATTCTGCCGTGGTGTGACATGTGTAAATCCTCGAAGTGTCCTCGCAGATGTGAGGCGATCTGTACTCTTCCAGCTTCGCACCACATGGCAGCGTAGCATGACGTGCATCTAAGTGCACCGTGTGATGTTGGCTTCTCAGGCACGGGAGAGGCCGCCGAGGCTCGCGGGGTCCTGGGAGCCTGGGAGTGTGAGCCTCCTGTGCTCGCAGGACTGAGACGCGCTGCCTTTCGGTGGGGCGGCCGGTTCAGGAGAAGATCCGCTCTGTGCTTGCCTTGGCTTTGACAGAAGTATAGAAGGTCGGCTGTAACAGCCCGAGTTCAACAGGCGGTGTACATCAGGATGGCCGTGCATGAAAATGCTCGGCGAAGCGAATTCCATGGGACCTTCGTGGTGCGACGTGCAGGGTCATGGACACTCAGACTCAATATCATCTGAGCAAGCCTGAACTCATGATCTACTGAGGTAAAGTTGGGTTGAAGCTGCTCTTCGAATTCAAGGAATTGGGAACCCGCGCAATGCTGTTTGGGGCCCGTGCTCCTCAAGAAGCTGGAAGGGCCAGACGGAAGAACGAGGTGAGGGTTTAGTGCACTTGTCATTGGCTGCTTTGTCAGTGGGCTAGACTGGAAGTGTGCTACAGTATGCCGCAGTGCACACCGGCTTCTTCAATTGTTTGCGCTACCAGAGGTTCTCTGCTGCATGTACGGCAGACAGTTGCTTTCAGGCAAAGCAAAAAAACCTGATGCTGGTCAGCAGAAAGCAGAAGGGACCTCATTGCGGCGACCACATGTGCCGTTCGACTTGCTTGTGGCCGCGACATTGCGTGCAGGTGTTAGACCAGCATGCCACGAGTACACATGCTGGTTGCGGGTGAGGTCCTAGGTGCTTTCTGTTCTGCAAGCGTTCCAGTTTCCTGGTTTGAGCAAGTGACCCAACAAAGCACAATTACCTGTACTTGCAAGTATCATGCCTCTAGTCTGGCCATCACTTTTCTCGGGTATTCGGCACCAGCTGTCTATGGCCCAGAAAGTGTGACAGACAATCATTGCTTTACCATCACTCTTCGCCGTAAGACAGTCCATGGACATCAGAGGGAAGTTGCGGCAAACCACGAAGCTCGATTGATGTAGCAAACGCCATCAAGGCAGCTCTGGTTGGCCAGGGGTCTTGAGTGCCGATGTGCCGTCTTCGGAAGTGTAAGACACTGCAATTAGAAGCCAAAGAAGTGGTCGGCGGGTTGCGGTAAGCGCCGCAGGTCAAAAGGTGGACCACGACCCCATAGGCTCGTCCCAGAAGCAGTGTCTGTAATTCTTGGACTCGTCAGAAAGGCTTGATCAGAGCAGGCTGCCCGGCGTTTGACTATGTTGTACAAACCCTGGACTCAAAGAGGTCATGGCACAGCGGGCCAAGATGCTCCCGTGCCCTTTGCACCGACACATCACGCAGATCGCTTCGAAGAACCATGTTGTTGCAGTGCTTGTCACGACGGCCCACCTCCCGGTAAACGATAAACTTAGCATCCATGCGGTGTGCAAAGTGCAAAGCGGCCGGCCTGCGTCCAAAGTGCTGGCGCATCCTCCCACAAGGCATGCAGCACAGGGTTACTGAGCTCATGGACAAATGATAAATAGTAAATCAGTAAATAGTTATTCACCGGACTCTCATCTGATTAGGCCAGAGCTGCAGGCACCTGCAGTTCCCATCAGGATGCAAGAGGATGTGCTGCCCTGAAACATGGCCTCCGCTTTCGCTAGAGTTTTTCCGACTGTGACTGTGGAAAGCTTTGTTTGGCCGTTGCTGCCGCTTCACGCCAGGACAGCTGTGCCCGATGTCACCCACAGCGCCCTTGCATCCAATATACCGTAATTTGTAATTGCTGCATTTCTTGTGTTCCGGGGATTCCGCAGTATTACTGTTTCTTGCTGGCTTTCTTGCCCACCCCGAGTCCTTATGCTTCGAAGCGAAAGGAGGAGCGAAAGGGATTTCAGGATGTGTTGTAGAGCTTTTGCACATCAAAACCCGGCAGATTTCCAAACTGCTGAGTACATCGAGCACAGCGCCATTCCTGTCGCACATTCTGTTTAGCATGCTTCTCGAGGACACACACACACATACACTGGTTCATGCAACTAGCACGCAGCATGCATCGAGATTGGTTGGGATTTTTCGTGCTGTGGCCGCTGGAGCAATGCCTAAGAGCATGTTGGCGAGTTTTCGGCCACATAAGAGCCCCCCAAGCAGTGGCCTTCAAGGCATGTGGTCAAGGAAGGTTTCACGAATGTGTTGCATGTTGCTACTAGCTGCTACTATGTGGCCTCCTTGGCTGACGACTTCCCAGGACGGTGAGTCCCACGGAAGCATTAACGATTCATTTTAAGTCTCAAGTTCGTGTGTCCATAGAAGCCCGGGCCACTGGGCGATTGAAAACCTGGCTGACTTTCCTCGTGAAGGAGCCCTACAGAGAACTCGCAGCACTGATTTCCAGAATTGCATTGGTGCACGGGAAAGTCGGCGGACACTCAGCCGGGATTGAAACTCCCAGAGTCGAGATGCGAGCCCCCCGCCCAGGCTCTCCAGTTCAGGGCCGAAGCTGGACTGGGGCTGTGAGCTGCGGGCTCACATTTTGACCGACCAATTTAAAGTGAGGTCAGTTCGGGCCGAGCGCGGAGACATGGAAACAATGCTGGAAGGAGATTTGGTGATGCCGCAGCCTGAAACACTATGCTGTACGAGTTGTTGCTAGTGCTGCCTTCGTGGGTTCGTCGAGTGCTTGGTGCAACCTTTCAGCACGAATGTCGAAGCCTTTGAGCATGCTCGCGCCCAGAGCACAAACTCGTTCAGGGAATTCTTTGTTGCCTCGAGCCTGGTTGAACTGCAGCCAGTACTTGGTGGCACGATCCCCTGTTTCGCCTCCTGCCTTCGGCTACGACGCAACTGCAGCCCGAGTGGATTCTTCTCAAGTTGTGCGGTCTCGCTCTCCTTTGTGAGAACTCGTGCCCAAGGCCTGGGCGGAGCGACTTTTCGAGTCTTTTTCAGGAGTGTGTTCCCATAAAGCCGTAGGACGGGATCTGTATATATTGGAACGAGTACACGGGCATCCGCTTGGAAGATGTTTTCCCATATTGTTGGCAGTGCCAGTGGAAATGCTGTCGCGTTGGCACGGTAGCAGTTCTGCTTAGTTCGAGCCTAACCTGACTCAATGCTGGGAGAGTATGTGCAGTGGAAACATCTTCACGACGACCCTGCTGGAGACGCAGTGTCGGCGGACACTACTCGCACAAACGGGAGAGAGCGGTCAGTTCATTCATCTGCAGTAGAATTGGGAAGACAGAATACCACCAAGGCCTCAGCCCAGCATGTAAACCCCAAGAGGTAAAGAATAAGGTTTCGATGGCTTCCTATCACAGATGCCCGGGTGTCTCAGCCCAGCTCTAGCAAGTATACGGGGTCACTCACCCCTGCGGACCTTGGATTCGAGTACCGATGCCTCCTGTATGATTTAGGGCAGTACCTGGAAGCAACGCGTGGCTCCCCAAAAAAACGAAAAACCCTTTCCCTGAAGCCTTGAAACTGGGATGCAGACCTGGGCCTCGAAGGCTCCCTGCATTCGAGAGTCTCGGGTGAACCCAGGTCGGTGACCGCAAACCGTGTTGCGCGCAATAGACCGGCTAACCCTGGCGGAAGCCCAAACTGGCCCTGATAAAGGAGCGCTTGGCAAAACCCAGCCGTCAGTTAACAGCATGCGCTGTGTGTGTTTTGTCCTTTGAGACGGTTCTGTATTTCATCCTTAGGCAGATTGGGAAAAGGAACCGTTCATGATAAAAAGACGGGCCCCGAATTTCTGTCCATGAACTCTTCCAATATTGAAGGGGAATGTATACTGCGGCTCCCCACTCTCTCCCTGCATGGCGGGTTCGACCTTGCAATATCTTGCAATGCAGGAGGCAAACACGCCCTTTGGGTTATGCCGTGGCATCGGAGCCGTGCACTCCCGGGTTCCGTCTGTGAGCCAAGAGCAGGAATACGTAGGCCTCGTTACAGTTTAGTGACAGTTTTAGGGTTCCAGGCCGCCAGTTGACGGGCAGCTGACTGCAGCGTCAGGCCGAGGCTCTCGTAACCAACACCATTGACGCCGTGGAAGAGGGAACCTGAGCTTCAACTAACTGAAAAGGCTGCAAAATTTCTCCAGTCTTTGGCACTCTTACTGCTTAGGGGTTGTTCTTCATCGCAGGCTGTGTTTGGACCATGACCGAAAGCAGACGACTCCTCCTCAAACCGGCTCGTGGCCACTGACATCGGCAGAAGGCTCCGATCAAGGATGAGTAGGGTCATGGCATGTGCCCGGCCACGCTGCTCGAGCTGCTGGAAGAGAAACGGCAGGCCAGTTCGAAGAAGTCTTCTCCAGCTGCTGGGCGCAGTAAGTGCAGGAATTTCGCAACGGCTCAAGCGACTGCAGCTGCGTGATAGAGTGGCGACGACTTCTGTGGATCGCAGAAATATGGCAGCAGTATTTTGAACAAGGGCCGAAGATTACGATCCAGGTTTTTCAGGAGCTTGACCGGGGGGTTTTGGAGGCATGTGCCATGATCTTGGGATTTGCAGCTGTGGTTGGTGAAGCATTTAGAAGCTCAACTTCTCGACGGAAAGTTTCTGTTCAAGTTTTCTGCAGATCAACGGAAGCGTCAGAGCCGACTTGCCTGAACAGGGCGCCTCGTGTACATAAGTCAGCAGTTCGTAGCAGAAACCGCATCCGGACTGCACCACATGCATTTTCGCGATGAGATTATTTGTCCTTGTCAACATCGTGGATTCGGACCTTTACCTGCTGTGCCTCAACAGAAACTCATACCGATGTGCCTTCTGGTTCCATACCAATGCATGCAGGATGTGAGCTTGTGGCATGGTTGGAAAGGTCTGATCCCTTGATAGTACTTCACGACTCATCGAAGCGGTTGCGAGGCTTGCAAGCGTGAGGGCTCAACTTTGTGTCAGGAGTCTCTAATTCCGAAGTAATCATGTATTCCTGCCGATTAGCGGCCAGTGTATTGACAGGCTTGTGTCTCCATATGGCAAATGCACAAAGCATTGTAACGTAACATAGCTTATATATTGCTAGGTGTTGTTGTGCACATGCCCACGCAGTCGAAGTTCCAGCTTTGCATTCCTAAAGGTTCTAAGAAGCTCTAAAGATAGCCCCGTAGACCTTGCAGAAGTTCAAGAGTCTGTCTGTTGCAGAACACCAAGACCTCGTTTGTGGGAGCACAAAACAGGAGCGGGACTCAGAATGCCACTGCACCAACAGGATATCTAGTGCTGAGAAGACAAAGCTAAACCCAAAGATACATGTCGCACGCTGCTTGACTCACATGGTAGATCGAGCAAGCAGCTCGATGGTAGCTTGGCCTCAGGTGCGGGGAGTGTGGCTGTGGGCTTCATAGAGTCAACCAATGCAAGTGGTGTCGAAGTGGTAGTGGCCGAGACCTGCTGGCAAGCCTTGTCTCAATGGCGGTTAGAGACTGAGATGACCGACCTTCGGCTGCATCCACTACCGACAGCACGGTACTGCATTCTTGCAAAGTTTCGTTTCGGAAAAAAGTTGCTTCAATCATCAATTGCAACCAGGAAGATGCAATGCAAGACAGGCACTACCAGACTAGCTGGCTCTTTATGCATACCTGCCATACAAAGAGAACTTGCTGCTTGCCTGCCGCCCAAGCTGTCTTTCTCTCGGCTGCCTCTGATCGACTCTGCCAAGACCCTGATCCGCTGAGTCCATAGTACACACTCTAGCAAAACTTCGGCCGCATGGACAGTACAAGAGAGGCACTGACTGAAGCAGATCGGGGATCGGGGCTTGACAGCGTACGCACCGCGGAAGCTTGCCCTTGCCAGTCTAAAGATGACAAAGATCCGTTTGAGTTTCTGGTCGGGCAGGAGAAAAGGCCCGAGCTTCTATCAATCAGCGGATTCCTTCTGTTGATGGCAATGGTCCCCAGATGCGTCTTGCGCAGAGTCCTCTTTAGCCTCCCCCGGTTGTCAGGAAGATCGGCAGAAATCAATCACACAGACATCAGAACTCTTGCCGAAACACGGTTCAGAGACTTGAGACATATCATGATGTGAGCAGTGCCGGAACAACATTCCAGAATACCCGCGGAACAGCCCAGCTGCAATGGCAGGCAGGGAGATGACTAGATTGACTAACATCTAGTGACTAGATGTGAGCTCGGCTTTGCCCATCCGCAGGTGCACAAGGTTGCAGGTTTTTGAATTGCTAAACTCGTGGTACTCCATGGCTCTTGGCCTGCCTCGATCTAGCTTTGGTCTCGTGGTCCATGCTTTGCAGCTGAAAGGCCCACAGAGCGTGGAGGCCATCCGAAAGCAGATCTTTCAAGAGCCACCCCGGCAAGGCTTACAGCCAGACTACCCGAAGACAATCGTGTGATGGCTTCTTTGAAGAGAGGTGTGCCGCTGAAAACTTGCCCTAGACCGTTTGACAGGCGAGGTGTGTCTCCCGCTCGTGAGCCTTGCCACCTCAAAGGGAGAATCATAGTGGGGTGGTGGTGGTGCAGCTGCTGATGTGGTGCCGGTGCTGATGATCATGAGCATTGCTGTCGCTTCTGCAGCTAGTTTTGAAGCTTCTCTTGAGCTACGGAGTACTACTGTAAGGAGTCGTATCGCGACTCCGGACGAGCATTGTCATTGTACTTGAGGCAGCACGACATACTCACAATGGTCATACTGTAGCAGCTTTCTGGCCCTCATATGCCCTCATGGGCGGGTCGCCAGGATCGATGATCACCTCCAACGCACCAAGACTCGCGAGAAGGCATCGCATTCAGTGCAGGATGCTGAATTTAGTAGAAGACTTGCTCTTCACCTCCGCTTTGATTGCACAGCCTGCAGCAGCTCACACATAGTAGATTGCTGACAAGCTTTGTGATCCCTTTTCGCAGCCACCATAAATCGCCCAGTATGAGACCACCACTCTCATTCAGCTACAACAACACAACAAGTCTAACAACGCATTTACGCAAGCTGCCACAGATCTGGAGAAACTGCTCGAACAACTACACATGCAAGTGTCTTTGCAAGCGCATTTTTGGCCGGTGACCTCTCCTTGCGTTTGTACTGTCCCACGTTACCGTTCCGAAAGCCCGGCTGGCATCCTTAATTGGGTGATGGTATGGATGGCGGCGCTCCCGCTGGCCTAGCATCCAGAGGTTCACAAGGCCATGCCTTTGTTTGCGTGACTGGAACAATCTGCAGCATTTTATCCCGGCTTTGTTAAGCTAAGGCAACGGGTTAAATTTCCGGATTGGTACCAGAAGGTTTCTCGTTTGGAAATGTGGCGGCTAGAGGTCCTTAATTAATGCGGAAAGCTGAGGGGGGGTTATTTGTTGGAGATGACCCGGAAGCCAGGAAGCCATGGGGGCCGATTTCGTGGGGAAATTCCACGGGATGAGTATTTGGTAGGGTCTAACAGCAGCAACAGCAACCACAACAACAAGAAGAGCAGCAGCAGCAAACAGCAACAGCAGCAGCAACAGCAGCATCAGCAGTATCAGCAGTAGCAACCACAACTACTTCAAGGAACAGACAACAACAGCAGCCCTGTCCGAGTACAGTACCGGAGCTGTGCGAAGGTGACTTGGTTTCCTGTAGCTTGATGTTTCGACAGTGACAGTACCAGTACTGGTTCTCCTTCCACTGGAATCGGCAGTAGTACTAGTACTAGTACTGCTCGTACTCCTAGTACAGTACTATGCTACTACTTCTGCTACTACTGCTACTACTACTACTACTACTACTACTACTAATACGTTGACGTGCCAAGTGGGTGACAAAACTACTAATACCACCACCGCCACCACCACCACCACCACCGCCACCACCACCACCACCACCATTACGACTACTACCACCACTGCTACTACTACTTCTACTGCCACCAATACTACTACTACTACTACTACTACTACTACTACTGCTACTACTACTACTACTACTTCTTCTTCTACTTCTACTGCTTCTACCACTACCACTACCACTACCAGTACTACTACTACTACTACTACTACTACTACTACTACTCCTGCTGCTGCTACTACTACTACCACTACTACTCCTGCTGCTGCTACTACTTCTACTACTACTACTCCTGCTACTACTACTACTACTACTACTGCTACTACTACTACTACTACTACTACTACTACTACTTCTACTACTACTACTACTACTACTACGACTTCTATTACTACT